GTCCCCAGTATCGGAGGCTGGCTCATGCTGCTGGCGGCCATTGCGCGTCCCGAGAAGACGGCCGCCTTGGTGGGCATCTCCACCGCCGCCGACCACATCGTCACTTCGTTTAACGCTCTTCCACTGGAGGTGGGACTATTTTTCTGTGCAGTCTAGCCATTTTTTTCAAGCGTTTGTCTGAGACTCGCCAATGTCGTGCCGCGTAGACGAAGATGCAGTTCCAGGAGAAAGGTGAATGGACGGTACCGACCAAGCACAGTGAAGAAGGCGTGTACAAGTTCAGCATGGACTTCCTACACGAGGCCGAGAACCACTGCGTGCTGCATAGCCCCCTCCCGGTCACGTGCCCCGTGCGCCTCATTCACGGCCTGAAGGACGAGGACGTGCCGTGGCACATTTCCATGCAGGTGGCCGAGTGCTTACTCAGCGCCGACGTGGACGTCATCCTGCGGCGCCACGGCCAGCACCGCATGTCGGAGAAGGAAGACATCAAGCTCATGGTCTACACTGTCGACGACCTCATAGACAAGTTGACCACCATGGTGTGATGACAAGGGCGTCGGCGTGGGCCGGGAGGGGCTTAGCCTCCAAAGACTGTTTCCTACCAAAACAAGGCAAGTTCCTTCTGCCCCCCCCCCTCCCCCCAAAAAAAGACCTACTGTCCTCTGTCTGTGTATTTCCCTTTCGTATTCAGTTGCATTTCAGTATTAGACGGGTCACTCACTTCTACTCCTGATCTTCCTCCTTTACTTTAACAACGCCAGTATAGAAGAGTTCCTGTGCCTTTCTTTTGTCACTTTTCTTACCCAGGTGGGCCCAATAAAACCTCTGCACACTGTCAGCTCTTTCTATCATTGAATCTCAATGTGATGCATGTTTTTCAGCTCAACAGGTAAGATGTCGAGGGTTCTTGCACGACTGTTGATCAGGTAAATAAAAATGCCGGGTTGGCTGGATGTGGCCGGCGGGCCCGTACTTTGTCCGCCTCCCTTCTAGCATGATGTTCTTTACCGCGGCGTGAACCAGCTGGGCTTGTTGATCATTAACATGTAATTGGCCCCTCGCCGAACTGTGCTCAATGGGGCGGCGCCACTCACTTTTAACCTTTTCTCTCGCTCCGTCTGTCATCTTCGTGTCCTCGCGCATGGTTGAGAACATCAATCGAGGGCGCTCGAGGGCGCCCGTTCTTGAAAGCCTGATTGGAACCTTATTTATGAGGCAGGAGTAAATGGAATGGTCTCCCCTCAACCCAAACGTACAACACCCTGTTCCAAATTATTAGGCCATTGGGTTTGTTCAGTTTTCCTAAATTTGATTTAGTGATTTTTTTTCAGCTATATTAGCTTTTACGGTGTGTTTTATTGAACACAAGCACCACAATGTTTTGTTTTTTTTTCAAAAAATTGTCTCTTAGAGTTGCTAATTTGAGTTCCACCTTCATAGATTCTTTTCCACATGTCCCAAGGCGGCTTAAGTTTTGATCGATCTGAAACTGGCGTCGCAGGCAATCGTTTTTTCACAGACTGAGATTGAGGGTCGTGTTTGGGACGACTAATTCATGCAGGACCCGAAAGTACATCTATGCAAGATATACTCCCCCCTGCAAAAAAGTTTATTATGCATGTTCGCATATCAGCCCTGCTCTTCTAATTTACATCACTTCCCCCATGCCAAGTTTATCCACCCATGACAAGGTCACCTAGTTTTTATTTCATTTTGACTTTAGTTTTTTTTTTTTTTAATTTTTTTAATTAAGCTAGTTTTAATTAGTTTTTTTGAGCAGATTTGTTATTTTTATTTTTTTGAAAAATCTTTGTTTTAGTTTAATTTTTATTAGGTTTACTATTATTTTTATTTTATTTTTTTTTCCAAATTATTGGAGCATTTGTCACACAGTATTGTGTAATAAAGTAAACGACAATTTTCAAACGACTGTTTGACCTTCCTTCTTCTATACAGCAATACGGGAATAAAATACATTTAAAATGAACCCCCGAAAGCTCATTCGTAATAATTGACAAAGTTGAAAGCTGAAATCATTATTTTTAACGCAGGTTTTTTTTTCTCCAAAAGCATTTTTGTTTTTATTTTATTTCGTTCACATTATCTTTCGTTAACTACAAAAACATTGATAGACACAACCGACCATTCACATCGATTTGGCAATTTCAAGTCTTAAATGAAGCAAACTAACGAAGCTCTGGTAGACGATACAAATTCCCGAAAAGCAAAGCAGGAGCCAAAATTCAAACCACAAACCACACTCCCGTGACGCAGACACGCTCTCCATGATTCACCGCGCCGACCGGTGTGTCAAGTGTGCTCGCATTCTTGATGGTCAACTGATTTAAAATGACAGGGAGGGGGAAATGATTTCCTAATACGCGTCCCTCACAATGAATACAAATAAGACTTTTTTTTTTTTCCTTTTTACATTTTATTGCATTGGATTAAACTCTGCACGTGTATCCAAAGAAGTGGCCATTCATTTTTTTCGCCTGGGCCAAAACGCACAATAGGGGCGAAAACAATCAATGAGCACTTCAATAGTGAGGCTTCCAGTAGCTTACATGGACTGCGGTGACCGCTGGCTCCGATAGGCCCCGCCGCCCTTCTTGCCTCCCTCCCTCGTGTGTATCTATAAAAAGGCGTGTCCACCCCCGCTCCCTCCCGCCGCCCCTCCTGGACACAAGTGTGACAGAGCCTCCCCCCACCACACGCCCAAGCCCAACCCAGACGCACTTCTTCCTCCCTTCATGGATGCTCCAGGACTCCAGCATCCTCTGCGGAATTGACACGCTGCTCTGACAAGGCGGGACGCGAACACGCAACAGCTCCTCTTAACTGTAAGTCAACTACGTCAGTGCGTGTCTGTGTCTGTGTAGTGCGTTGTTGAGTTTTCAGTTCCTGAACATTGGTTGGATTTCACTCATTTCATCCCGTCGTTTGAACATAGAAAATGACATGCGAGTGAGGTCTACACATAATGATTGTGAACCGTTTTTTTTTTTTTTTTTTTTTAATGTGTAAGAAAGCCCACCATTGCAAAAACAAAGCCGCTTGCTCGAAACTCAAGTTAAAAAAGGAAAATTGTAAGATACCAAAGAGCGGGATTTTTCATTTAAATGCAACCTCACCGTTTCCTGTTGTGTCACCGTCTCGCCACAAGGTGTCACTGTGTAACCGCATTGGCTCAAACTTGAAATTGTCTGCAACATGTCCCGTACCGTCAAAGGACACAACATTAGGTACAAGTGATGATTGTTGCATCATGTAGTCAACCGCGTTTTTATTTCCTTGTAGATACTCGTGGGCTCCAGTATCGGAGGCTGGCTCATGCTGCTGGCGGCCATTGCGCGTCCCGAGAAGACGGCCGCCTTGGTGGGCATCTCCACCGCCGCCGACCACATCGTCACTTCGTTTAACGCTCTTCCACTGGAGGTGGGGCCATTTTTCT